AGTGAAAAAGTTTTCCCTAATATCCAACCTAAACCTCCCTCACTACAACTTGAGACCATTACTCCTTGTTCTGTCATCTGGTACCATTGAGAACAGTCTAGATCCATCCTCTTTGGAACCCCCTTTCAGGGGGTCTCTTCACATGCTTGCACATGGTCCTCCAGCCTCCTCCTCACCATCACTCACCCATTTCGGCACAGGTTTACTACATTATTTAGCATGCTGCTCGTCAAGTAAGGCTTGGCCATCTGCGGGTTGGACATGATTAGATTCCGCATGGTGTAGCAAGCAGAGGACATGATATCTCCAAAGTTACTGTTGTTCCCGGACTGGAAGGCCAGGAGACGGGACACATCTGGAAGCACCTGGGGAGCTAAAGAGGAGGAACATTCCAATCAGGACTGAAATAAAAACCAGTGCAGATCAATCAGATACTTAGAGTAAGTACTATGCAACAGAAGGGCTGCAGAATCAGGCCCTAAGTGAGGCATTAATAATCACACAATAACCGCTATGGCCTAGATCTCAAAGGTATCTATGTGCCTAATTCAGCAGGAGTTACACACCTAAATACCTTTGAGGATCTGGTCCTATTTGATCTAAGCAATAACGATGAACATGGCTTGGTGTCACAAGCAGTGAGGCTCGGGAAACAGTATACACCACCCCAAGAAGCCAAGTCCAACCCAACCAGGGGAAACACTCCCTCTCCCAGAAAGAGGCCCAGAGAAACCAGCTGATCTATCTTATCCATGAAGCATGCCAGGAATCAAGTGAGAGGCCCACTAATGGGGTGAGGTAGCATTTGTTAACCAGACTGCACACTACTCCAAAAGACGTCAGCTGAGGGTTCCTTATGGTGGCTACAGGCCAGGATAAATAGCATCTCTTGGCCAGCGTCACAGCCCTGCTGATCACCAGCCACGGGGAGGGGACGTGTGACATCAGTGCATTTGTTTGGTGAATCTATGTCCGGTGGTGATGCTTGCCACAGTTCAGCTGATGGGTTTACAACAGAAGGTGGGCTTGTGAAAGAAGGGGAGAGGCTAGACAACCCCTCAGAAATGGCCTTTATGGAAGCTCCTTACCCATGGTTTTGTGGAGAATAGGATGCCGGGACATGTTGCTCAGCAAGGAAGCCCCAGATCGGACAACTTCACTGTTACTGGATTGGAGGAGCCGTGCTATACGAGGCAAACCCTTCTCCTTTAAGCCAATCAGCTGGCTCATTGCATTGGACATCTAGGGGACAAATTAGAATTTGTTAGTGACGGCCAACCCATGCAGGCCAGGTGTATTCTATGCAGTATTTTTGGGTATAAATGCTATAGACAGGAAAGTATAGCTAGGTAATACAATAATCATCAATATCATATTGTAGCCTCTTGGATCCAAATCCTCAAAAGGTATTGAGGTGCCTAACTCACATTTATTTCAAAGAAAATTAGGTGCCTAAACATCTTTGAGGATCTGGGTCTCTCCTATGCATCCTTTTCTGTCCATAAACAACTTATATTAGGGGCTGGAGAGTCAGTTCTCACCTCAGCCTGGTTGGCCGGGGGGGCGAGGCGGGGACACAAGGTGGTGAGGTTTATGAGCTTAAATCCTATCAGCATTAATTGGAGGGTTTTGAGTTTCATGCACAAACTGCTCCTCTCCTGCCACCCCTTGCACCCCAGGAGGAACAAACCACTTCTTGTACAGCTAAACGATACTTTTAAAAAGACAGGCGCTTGCATGAAGTTCTGTCCTTGTTTACACTGGTGTAAATCCAGAGTGAATCCATTGGCTTGACGCATGCCCAGCAACTCTGAAAATCAGTCCATTTAGGTAGGTGCCTACATACGGACACAGGAGCCTTGTTTTTTGAATTCTTGGCCTCAGAGACCAACACTGAACAAGCTGCTAAACAATTTTATGATGTTGCCAGACAGCTGCACTCTTTCTTCCAATAGGGGCATGTATTATTGGCACAGGATCTTTTCTCCTCTCGGGTAATCAGCTGCAGTGCTACCACCAGTGCATTCTACTGGGTTGAGATGACAGACAGCTTGATTGCCCTCCCTGAGTGCAGAACAGACATGTGCTGTGTTACTTAGTGGTGCTAACAGGATTGAGGTAAGTATCCCAGGACACTGAGGAGAGAACAGATCCACAAGTCTGTAACCAAAAGGGCTAAAGGATTCCATTCTGCAAACTCCTTGCACGTAAAATTCTGTCGCCTTCAATGGAAGATCTGTCCGAGGAAAGCTTTTAGGATAGGCTTTGCAAATTTCCTTTGCAAGTTTCTCCCTTGCAATGTTGAGCTCATTACATTTCACATTTGCACATGAAAAGATATTCCCATGAAAAAAAAATCATGTACTTCCATGTCATTTATGTGCTGCTTTTGTTTTATGCTCTGCAGTTCATCTCATGGCAAACCTGCACTACTCTAGGAAATTTTGGGAGGGCAAACAGAGATCAATATAAGGAAAAATGCTAGAAATCTTAGGGTACATCTACACTACAGGGGGGGAGTCGATTTAAGATATGCAAATTCAGCTACGTGAATAGCGTAGCTGAATTCGACGTATCGCAGCCGACTTATCCCCGCTGTGAGGACAGCGGCAAAATCGACTTCTGCGGCTTTCTGTCGACAGCGCTTACTCCCACCTCTGCTGGTGGAGTAAGAGCGTCGATTGGGGGATCGATTGTCGCGTCCCGATGGGACGCGATAAATCGATCCCCGAGAGGTCGATTTCTACCCGCCGATTCAGGCGGGTAGTGTAGACCTAGCCTTAGTTGAAAGGAACATGGATCTAACACACAAGGCATTGTGTGCCTCAGATTTCAGCCAAAAGACTCAGCTTAACAAAATGAAGTTTATTAATTGCATACAAATACCACATTTCAACAAATCTCTATAGAAGAGACCTGGAATCTTCATGGCAGGAAATCTGAGTACGGTGATTGTTCCGGTAATAGAATTCTGAACAGTGCAACACAGTTTAGCATTCCATTCCATCTCCCCCTTTAAGTTCTACATTCCTACCATTCACAAAACTCTACATTTCGGAGTCAGTAACTCACCTCACCAATCTCCCTTTTCCTTTGTTGACCTAAACTACATAACCAATCCCAGCTCGAGCCTGGGATTTTCAAAGGTGTCTAAGGGAATTAGACACCCAGCTCTAAAGGAGGGGGAAAAATTCGTTTTGGGAAGGATTCTGAAAATTGGCTTTATTTCGAATCGGAAATTCTCTGCGAAGGAAAAATCTGAAGAAAAATGGAGTTTCAGGGTAGTAGGAATGTTCATTTCCACAAAACCATTTCTTCTTGATGCTGACTTTTAAAAAATTTAGTATAATCTAATGTTTTTAAAACTGAAACAAAACGTCATTTCAAAATGAAAAATCAAAACGTTTTGTTCCAAAAAACATCAAGACCAGATGTTTCAACATTGTTTTGGAAGAAAACCACAAAAATAAAGTACTGCCAAAGTTCTAGTGAAATCAACCTGATGTCATAAGCATTTTGATTTAGGCAGAGCTGCATATCCCAGTGACATGTGGTTCCATCAAAGTTTCCCAAACCTGCTCTACCCAACTCCCATTGAAAGTCAAATTCCCGATGCCCTTTGAGGATTCTCACCCCCCTGACAAAAGGGATAATTTTCTCAAATTTGAAAGAAATCAAAGCTTTTCATGCCAAAACACTGAGCAGCTAGACACGCAGCAGAAGACTTCCCCTGTGTCATCATCAGGTGGCCTTTGGGTGGGATGCCGTAACACACGACACGTCTCTGTGCTGTGTGTGCATGGGACCCCAGTAACGAGCGAGTGCTGAGAGAATGCAGAATCAGTCAATGCTACACTCGGCTGATGAGGCAACTCATGGTGTTGGAAACCATCACGT